CAAGAATGACACAATTAACTACAACCGTGCAACCTTATGCATCGAGCGATTTGAATTGACGACGTTCGATCGTGCAACAAGAACATATTCATATCGTAGTTATGATAAGGGTAATGTGCAGTAAGCACTCGACTGAGTTGGTAATGTTGTAGACGATTAAAAGAATGCAGTACGATGGCACTGAGGTATGCTGAGCTCGGAATGGTTGCAGACAAACGCATAAGCCAGCCTTTCTGATTAGCACAATACGATACGATTGGTACGTGGAGTCCGCGGCGATGGGGAGCAGCAATCAGTGGCTGTGTCAGTCTTAATGCATAGTTTATGGACCAAAACATCTTTCTACACAAAACTTAATATACACAACCGTGTGTTGTATACATATATTGGGTGTGAATGTAGCATGGCAGAGTTTTGGGAAGCAAATACAGTTTAGAGGAGAGAAGAAGAAAAACAATTCAAAAAATTTCAACTGCCCACAGATATTTATGCTGTGAACATTGACATTTGATAAGAGATTGAATATATTCGCACGAGAATAATGACTTACTAAAACATCAATGACACGCGAACAGTGGATTTAATCAAGCTAACAATGAGGTAATCTTCCAATAACACTTTGTACACTTAACAATAACGAAGGCAAAAGCATACGATGCTCTTTCCATAACCGACTGGCGCATCGTGCCTGTTTTAGCTTGTCGTATGAAACGAAAGCATAATTCACTTCTAATGTCCTTCGCTCGTCTGAGTTGGTTAGTCGGTTAGTCCGTTGGTTCCCTAAGTCAGAAATGTTTCTTTCATTCAACATCAACCAATAAATATCATATGTTAAGATGACGACGCCTCATATACGCATACACTCGATCTAACGAATAGTGCTGCTCAGTGAGTGTGTGTGTATGTGTATATATTGTGCTACTCTATATAACACACAAACATACACACGCACAACACTATGCCATTGCAGCGCTTATTGTGATATATCAAATACTATTTGATGAAGAATGCACACATACCTACTTCACTTATGTGCTGCTTGTGCCGCACAATCAGATATGAAATCAGAACTATTTTGCATGGCAGGTTCATTGAATCAACTTATTTAGCAGACGACTACATGTGAAAAATCAATCGAATGAGCGAGTAATGAATATCTGAATTAACTGTCTCAAAATTTGTGATCGAAGCAGAATGTTTTTGCAGAGAAGATATAAAATTTTTAGGTGACTGAATGCAGTTTCGGCTGACTAGGCATTGCACACAAGACCATTCATAGAACTATTACTTCCTGGCTTTCGTACCTTGTTTCACTTGAACTACTATTCATTATCTGGAATAAACGGTTGTTTAATGCATCTTGCAAATGTCATTCCCATGTTTTGTATCTTCTTATGCATGCATTAAATGTTCCATTCTCAGGCGATCATGAAAAATTCGGAATTTTCCAGCCTATGCAGACCGAAATTCAACGGACTTCTTCAGAATATCAGTTGCGCTGTGCAGCAATTTATATTCGCGGCACGAAATTTTGTACTATAGAAGCAGATTTGCAAGGGTTCTGAACTGCAGAGAATTGAGCAACAGATTGTTTCAAACCCGTCAATAAAGGACTGCAATTTTTCCACCTCGATGCTCGAATATCAGCAGAAATCGCAATGGTTAGGTTGCCGAACATTGCGGTGCTAACTGAAGCAGAGTTGTGGATCCAAAACTAGAGAAATTTATATTTGCAGACGCAGTTGAGAATCGAAAACGAGGCTTCATTTACAGGTGTTGCAAAGATGAAACAAAAATTTCTCGAACCGCATCTTTGCTCTAGCCTATCTCAGCGTTTTCGTATGCCCCATTAAAGCCGTAGCCGGGAGTTTATTATCATATCACCTGATATTCTCCTCAGCAGACGAAATGACCCACCCTTTCACCACTGAGCGTTATTACAAATGTCAGTTAGAATATAATTAAAGGTTGGATGTTATTAAAGGAGTACGTAAAAAGAGATGCGATATCAAATCAGTTGATTGCACATCAACAAATCACTTACTGATTTGTATAATCGAATCGAATTCAAACGATAAGTTACCAGAATTACGAATTGAAGCAATAAAGGCAAATTACTCAGAATGCGCAGTGATCGTCATCAATGTTCGTCGAACAATTAGGCCGTATATAGCACATACTTATCGAACTTCGGAAGTAAGCGAACCGAATGAATTAATGATATTCAATAGTTTAAGTGCTCATTGAATTTACGAATTCATTGAATTACGAGTTTAGTTTTTACGAATTTACGAACGGAATTTAGTTAGTTTTTTTTTTGAGTTCAATTTTCAAAGCAGTAATTTAAAATTCAATAGTAATTTAAGCTCATTGATGAGATTGGAAAAGTAGGACTTTTTTGTTACAGTTAGTGAGTGGATAATATCAAATGTGCAGAATAGCACACACACATCGAGGAACGACGGCACAACGATAGTTGCAGTTAACAGGGAAGCAGACGCTCGTAATACACCAATGTAATTTGCTGACGGAATAAATTAGCAGGTTAAATGATATACGGCGGTTGATAAGTCATGATGTTTACGAACGAATATTGTAGTAACACTTGTGTGTAGGGGATAATTATCAACGAGAACAATTTTGGGTTCACCCTTCGGATGAAGGCAGTTGATTGGGAAAGGAATTGAGAGAAATAGCAGTAAAGAAATAAGCGTTGAATGGCGGTTTTCAATGAGCAAGAAATTTATCGATTCTGCAATTCAGAATTCATCTTTTTCACTAGACGGATTCAACCGTTATAGAGTGGAGTGAGGGGTAGTTGTGGGCAAGGGTTTGTCCCCTTCTCCATTAATCTCATTCATCTAACAAATTAGTCTTGCATTCTGTATTCGCCACTGACTTTCCGGACAATTTTACTACTTGCACAACCGTTTCAGAATAACTTTGCTCTACGATTTTTTGGTCAGAATCTTCCGCTGTCGACGAATTACTCCGCACGGAGGTTCCTCGCACAGCGAAAATTTGCCGTCCGATGAGCACTATTCACCACTGTTTTGAGCCAAACCGAAGGATAAAACGTTCCTTTTAAACAGCCATATAATTATTCTAAAATTTTCATACTTATACACATGAAATATTCATTATAATATGATGTGTTCTAAATCGCTGCGATGAGGGGTTAAGTGAAGAGATATGAATAAATGATAAAAATTTGATTACGTGTTAGATTTTAATCGTTGGATGGACGTCGATCGGATATGGGATGGTGTTTCTTATTGAGTTTTTAATACGAACAACACGAATTTTAAACGAATTTAGCTCTGTTCTATTAGCATTAATACTAATGATTAGTTTATTCGAATAACGAAGGTTTTTTTCAAATAAAACGCAACATAAAAAATGAACAGTGCAAAAATGTTTTCGCAACGAATGCGTGCATAAAGCAAATCACATGTGTGTCCGTCCATTCGTAGAAACACTGAATGACATGAACATATACGTAACAACAGTCAGATCAGATCAATATGTAATATTCAAATAAATCAAACTATAACTAACCTGATTCCACTGACCACACAATTTAGACGAATAGATATTCGAAGACAGGTTGGCGCATGCATATACACACACATGCATTATGCATCATGCAGTTGATTTGTTGTTTGTTTGTGTGGTAATCATAACGACGGTGTTAACGATGATCATCCTTTATTCTATAATATCATGTCTTGTCTTGTCTTGTCTTGTCTATTCAGCACTGCAATCTGAATCTCACCTCAATAAGAATTGAAGAATGAATGAATGTAATAGCATGCCCTCAATGCTGCCCCTGTGTCCCTATGCCCTTTATGCGGCGCCCCTGTCTGATGATGTGACGTCTGTTCGGTCGCTTGCCGTTTTCGAGCAATAATCCAACGACGATATGAACAGTGTGCTGATGTTGTTAATGTTATGTTGGTGGTGATGATGAGATTATTCAATGCATTCTAGCAGAATCACTCCAATGTATCACTAGGCGAATGAATATCTATATCGCATCGCACAGATATGCAGGACATCTTGTGATGTATTTATAAATGATATGCATAACTAACCACAAGTACGTATGCTCAAACATTATTTATTTT